TTGATTTTGATATCTCCAATTTGCAATTCACAGTTTGGACTCATCTTTTTGCTAACAACGATGCATTCTGGCTTCTTGCTGTTGGTGTTTATCGATTTCATCTCGCTATTGTAAATTCTATGAATACTGCTTATCACAATCTTTGACCGTGGACAAAACTTTTATCTTAGTTTTCATTACCCAATATAAAAATAGAGCGATGAATTTTAGAATGCATTTTTTTAATCTAAATTCGCAAAAGTCTAGGTTTTTATCATTAAATATTACCCTCACCAAGTATTTTGTTGATACAGAAAATTATTATGCGCCGTGTTTGATCAGAATGTGGGGATCATGATTCTCAAAAGCTTTGTAACTTTTAACAATATTCGTCTTTTTATTACCACTCCCTGTTCTGTCATAAGCTTGTTAGGCAAGTTTCTCGCTATCTCCTTTTGCCCCTTTTGTCTCCAAGTGAGTGCCAAATTCTCTTTCCTCATTATGTGCAACAGAAATTTTAACTTCCTCTTTCCGAGCATATATAAAGGTTTTCCTTTAGATTTAATTTAACTTAAAACTTCCTAATATGTTTCGTCGATATTATTCTCAGCATCCTTCTGTAGAACCGTATCATCGTTGCTTCAAATGTCCGCTTTATCTGTGTTGATACTATCGGATTTTCGCTGTCATATAGGAGGACAGATAACAGCTGAGCACTCTTATTTTTGTTTCTAATAGAATGTTCCTGTTACTTTATATTTTTAGAATACATATCTGTCTCACATTTTTGTCGTCTAGCTCCTTTCTTCTTCTTCTTCTTCTTCTTCTTCTTCTTCTTCTTCTTCTTCTATGCGCTATTTCTTCTTCTTGTTCTTGTTCTATGCGCCATTTCTTCTCCTTCTTGTTCTTCTTGTTCTATGCGCCATTTCTTCTTCTTCTTCTTCTTCTTCTTTTTCTTCTTCTTCTTCTTCTTCTTCTTCTTCTTGTTCTATGCGCCATTTCTTCTTCTTCTTCTTCTTCTTCTTGTTCTATGCGCCATTTCTTCTCCTTCTTGTTCTTTTTTGTTCTTGTTCATTTTTTTCTTCTTCTTCTTCTTCTTCTTCTTCTTCTTCTTCTTCTTCTTCTTCTTCTTCTTGTTCTATGCGCCATTTCTTCTTCTTCTTCTTCCTCTTCTTCTTGTTCTATGCGCCATTTTTTCTTCTTCTTCTTCTTCTTCTTCTATGCGCCATTTTCCTCTTCTTCTTCTTTTTCTATGCGCCATTTCTTCTTCTCCTTCTTGTTCTTCTTGTTCTATGCGCCATTTTCTCTTCTTGTTCTTCTTGTTCTGCGCCATTTCTTCTTCTTCTTCTTCTTCTTCTTCTTCTTCTTCTTCTATGCGCCATTTCCTCTTCTTCTTTTTCTATGCGCCATTTCTTCTTCTCCTTCTTGTTCTTCTTGTTCTATGCGCCATTTTCTCTTCTTGTTCTTCTTGTTCTATGCGCCATTTCTTCTTCTTCTTCTTCTTCTTCTTCTTCTTCTTCTTCTATGCGCCATTTCTTCTTCTTCTTCTTCCTCTTCTTCTTGTTCTATGCGCCATTTCTTCTTCTTCTTCTTCTATGCGCCATTTCCTCTTCTTCTTCTTTTTCTATGCGCCATTTCTTCTTCTCCTTCTTGTTCTTCTTGTTCTATGCGCCATTTTCTCTTCTTGTTCTTCTTGTTCTATGCGCCATTTCTTCTTCTTCTTCTTCTATGCGCTATTTCTTCTTCTTGTTCTTGTTCTATGCGCCATTTCTTCTCCTTCTTGTTCTATGCGCCATTTCTTCTTCTTCTTCTTCTTCTTCTTGTTGTTGTTCTATGCGCCATTTCTTCTTCTTCTTCTTCTTCTTCTTCTTCTTGTTCTATGCGCCATTTCTTCTTCTTCTTCTTCTTCTTCTTCTTCTTCTTCTATGCGCCATTTCCTCTTCTTCTTCTTTTTCTATGCGCCATTTCTTCTTCTCCTTCTTGTTCTTCTTATTCTATGCGCCATTTTCTCTTCTTGTTCTTCTTGTTCTATGCGCCATTTCTTCTTCTTCTTCTTCTATGCGCTATTTCTTCTTCTTGTTCTTGTTCTATGCGCCATTTCTTCTCCTTCTTGTTCTATGCGCCATTTCTTCTTCTTCTTCTTCTTCTTCTTCTTCTTGTTCTATGCGCCATTTCTTCTTCTTCTTCTTCTTCTTCTTCTTCTTGTTCTATGCGCCATCTTCTTCTTCTTCTTCTTCTTCTTCTTCTTCTTCTTCTTCTTCTTATGCGCCATTTCCTCTTCTTTTTTTCTATGCGCCATTTCTTCTTCTCCTTCTTGTTCTTCTTGTTCTATGCGCCATTTCTTGTTCTTGTTCTTCTTCTTCTATGCGCCATTTTCTCTTCTTGTTCTTCTTGTTCTATGCGCCATTTCTTCTTCTTCTTCTTCTTCTTCTTCTTCTTCTTCTTCTTCTTCTTCTTCTTCTTCTTCTATATGCCATGGCATTTCAGGACGTTGAAAATCAAGGCCATTCACATTCTCTTGTCCTTTGTAGCTCTTAATAACTTTTGCCATTTTGCCGTCTCTTCCAAGCCCTGTTCCGCCATCCATTCACTCAGCCACTCCAGTTAAGTCTCCTCTGTTTCTCTGCCCTTCAATCTTTCCTGCGAGTGTCTAATTCTCCAGGTCCTTTGTCCGCATTAGGTGCCATAAAATATTTTAAGTATCTCTTTTTTTCGATTCTAGATGTCCTTTTTGTTTCCATTTTCCCTAAACCTTCGTCGTTGATCACATATTCCGTCCAGGGTATTCTCAGCATCCTTCTGTAGAGCCACAGTTGTGTTGCTTTAAGTCTATTCTTCATCTGTGCGGAGATTACCCAGCATTTACTACCATATGGGAGGACTGATATTACATCGCAGTTCAGTATTCTTTTCTTTGTTTTCCATATATTTATGGAGATTTTAGGGTTACTATGATCCACACAAGATTGAGCTTTTAGCGACTTCATTCTTCCACATCATATATTGCAATAATGATTAGTTTACTAATCACAAAGGTATTATTTTTCAGTTCATGAAATTCATGACAGAAAAATAATCTTAGCCAAATTATCCTTTGCTTTACTTTAAAACTATGAAAAATGTTTAAGTATATCATTAAAAACAACTGCATCAATTAATTAGCCAATAAAGTTTCAAATTTTGGTGTGAAATGCAGCAAAAATTTACCTGAAAAAATGTATAAAATGATTGAATATCAAGTTAAGCAAAGCCTTGTATGGTGTCGATCGGGGATATTTATTTTATGCACACTATATCTGATTAATAATTACAACAATAACAGCAAAGATACCAACATAAAACAATAAAAAATAAAAAGTATAATTCAAAGGAAATATAAAATGTTTAAGAAGGCAATTAGGTACCAATAAATAATGGCTACTAAAAATAAAGAACTGAATAATATTTGCTATAGATGTGCCTGTAACCCGTCTTTTACGAGAATGGTACCGTTGCCTTTTTTATTTTTGTTATCAACAACAGAGTTCAACGGGCGGGATAAAAAAGGACAATAAAACGTTGCCTGCTTTTATCACACAGAAAATGTTCAGTTAATGAAGAAATATCAATGGGTACATACAAAGGGACAACTGAATTTGACAGCAATTCGCAGAACTCTAGTTAAATATCACTTCTGAAATGTAAAGCATATCACTGAGTCCTGGAGTTGACGATAAGGTATAGAAGAGAAAAAAAAAGGAATTTTTGGAAGCAGCGCCATGGTGATGAAACTCTTTGGAAGCGATGCAGTTGGTGGTGATGGATGTGAATAGAAAATAATAAAATACGAGAAGGAAAACAAAAACAGGAAAGGAAATTACCGGCCATAAAAAGAAATGCAGAGAGATAAAAGAGAGGAGATTAAAAAAATGTAGAATAAAAATAAAAAAGTGTAAAGAGAAAAAAAGGGAAATCATCGTGCTTTACTGTGAAGAAAATAATGAAGAACAAATCATATGAGAAAATACCGAATTGTTGTAATTGCTATAGCAATGATTATTAAGAAAAAAAGAGAAAAAGAAAAAGTTAAAAAGGAACAAGGAAAGATAGATTAGAAAGAAAAGTTAGAAAAAAGGAATAAAGGCTACAAAGAAGAAAGTTAAAGACAGCTGGAAGTGGTCTTTCTCTCTGTGTCTGTTTGTCTCTCTCTCTATATATATATGTGTGTGGAGGTCTGTGTTTGTGTGTGTGTGTGTGCATAAAGAAGGCTATAAAAAAAGAAACAGAAAATCAGAAAATTACAATGTAAACAAAAAGAATTAAGTTTAAGACAGAAAGAAAAAAAAGAAAGCCTACAAAATGAAAGAAAAATGATATAGAAAAGAGATAAAAGTTACAAAGAAATGCTAGAGGGAGAGAGAGAGAAAGAGAGAGAGAGAGAGTGAAAGAAAAAAATAAAGAATGCAAAAAAAAAAAAAAAAAAACCCTACTAAAAAGAAAAGGAGGAGAGATATGGCCAATAAAACTGCATACAGAAACTGAAAGTGAAAGTAGAACAGATTATTAGTTATTCATAGCGATAGGAAACAAACAAATAAGGGAATGGAAAGACAGAAAAAGAGAGCTTAAGTAAATTAACAGCAAATCATTGTGAAAGAGAAATTATTGTAAAGATAAAAATAATAAAAAATAACAGTATAAAGGTATAATCAAATGAAATAAAAAATGACAAGTGAAAAACATCAGATAATTTAAAAAAAAAGAAGTGGTGCATGCATGGGCGAATCGGATAACAGAAGTAAACTTATTATAAAGATAAAAGAAAGAAGAATAAGTGAGAAAACAATGAGAACAATGGAAAATATAAAAGAAAAGAAATAGTAAATAAAAGCAAAAGTCAAAGAAGCAAATATGATAAAGAAAATGAATATTAATGGAAGTTACACTCTATGTGTGTGTGTGTGTCTGTACTGTGGGTATTTAAAAAGAGATAAAATAAAAATGAGGATAATAATAGAGAAAGATGAAGGAATTAGAAACATTTAGGAAAAAAGAAAGGAAGTACTAGGGAATAAGAAAGAAAAAGAAAGAAAGAAAGAAAGAAAGAAAGAAAGAAAGAAAGAATGGGAAAAAAGAAGATAATACAATATTTTCAAAAAATGAAAAGAGTAGTGAATAAGAAAGAAAGAAAGAAAAAGAAAGAAAGAAAAAGAAAGAAACAAAGTAAGAATTTGAAAAAAAATAAGAAAGTGGATAAGAAAGAAAAAAAGAAGCAAAAAGGTAGCAGTAAGAAATAAGAAAGAGAGAACCAGTAAATGAACAAATGAACGAAACAAAGAAAGCACTTAAAAAAGAAAAAGTAGGAAATAAGAGAGAAAGAAACAAAGAAACAAAGAGAGAAAAGAAGTTAGGAAGGAATAAAAAATAATGAAAAAATTATTTAAAAAAAAAGAAATGTATAGAAAATGAGAAAGAAAGAAAAAAGAAAGAAAGAAAGAACGAAGAGAGGACATCAAGAATAGATGGGGAGATTTATAGAAGGAAGAGTAAAAAAATATCTAAAGAGGATAAAGAAAGAAAAAGAAAGGATGAAATGAAGAAAAAAGAACGTCAAGTCGAAAATAAATAAAGTGTAAAGCCGTGTGTATGGCTTCTTAATCTGAATATTTTTCAATCGGCACTCTCATCATCTTGGCTGACATATCAAGAAAAGGATGAATTTGGTAGCATCATCACTCGACTGTAGTTGGCAGGGTTGACGTTAAGCCCTGGTCCTTTCTTTCCTAGATATCCTTATCAAGCAAATACAGCCGGGTCAGCTGTTTTGTGGCCCGCCAAGCCAATATCCTTATAATGAAGACGTTCGTCGCACAGCCAATTTTCTGTTTTAACGTCGGAAGACGTTAATAGGAGAGGCGCTATCTTGCAGTTCCACGGTAGCGAACTGCGGCGGTGGCGAGGATGTGGTTGTGAGGAGCTGGGTTCACTGGCAGGCTGGTGGTAGGCTGGCGGATGGGCTGACGTTTGGACGCATGGGCGGACAAACAGAGGACGGAAGAAGGGACGGACTCACTGGTTTAATCTGCACATCGGTTTTTGCGTGTTCATTTGATAGCAATGTATAGTGTATGTCTCTTAAATGAAAACTCGGCAAGACGATAGACGTGTGTACACTCACATACATATATAAATGCGCATACACATACACATGTATATGCGCCGGTAAGACCTAATCAAGACAAACCTACGAAAGAAAAAAGAAAGAAAGGCTAGAAAGAAAATAAAAAGAAATAAATAAAGAAAGAAAGAAAGAAACTAAGGAAATTAAAAGAGAACGGAAATTAGAAAAGGAAGAAAAATGGGAAAGTAGAATAAGAAAACAAAAAGAAAGAAAGGCTAGAAAGAAAGAAAGAAAGAAAGAAAGAAAGAAAGAAAGAAAGAAACTAAGGAAATTAAAAGAGAACGGAAATTAAGAAAGGAAGAAAAATGGGAAAGTAGAATAAGAAAACAAAAAGAAAGAAAGGCTAGAAAGAAAGAAAGAAAGAAAGAAACTAAGGAAATTAAAAGAGAACGGAAATTAAGAAAGGAAGAAAAATGGGAAAGTAGAATAAGAAAACAAAAAGAAAGAAAGGCTACGAAGAAAATAAAAGAAAGAAAGAAGGAAAGAATGAAAGAAATAGACAAAGGAAATAAAAGAATAGATAAAGTAAATGAAAGAAGGAAATAAAGTAGAAATGTAGAAGGAGAAAAAAGAAAAAGAAAGAAAGAAAAAAGGAAAGTAAGAAAGAGAGAAAAAGGAAAAGTAGAATAAGAAAGAAAGAAAATTAGATGAGAAGAGAATGGAAATGATAATCGAAGAAAGTGATAGAAAGAAAAGAAGCAGAAAAAAGATAGAATAAAAAGAAGTGTAGATTGATATGGAATAGTAATCATGTAAGAGAAAATAACAAGAAAGACGGAGATTAGAAAGGAAATTTTAAAATAATTTTCCAAGGATCCGAAAAATAAAGAAGTCAGAGTCGCATAATGGCCTTGGACATCCGTTTTGGGAATATAATTATCAACCTTATGCCATATCACCAGTTACCTTCTTGTATCGTTTAAGTTTTTTTATTTTTTTTTTATTTTTGGGTGGTGAGTGGGCGTTCATTATTCTTTTGTGATTTACTTCCTTTTCCTATTTTTTCACTTATCTAGTTCCGGTTAATTTCCTTAATGAAAATATCATTTTTCTTTCTTTTTTTTTTCTTTTGATTTTATAGTTGTCTTTTTCCCTTTTCTTTATTGTCTCAATTTATATTCCTCTCTAAGGTTGTTTTTTTTTTCTCCATTTCTTATACTTCAAGGTCTTTATACATTCTATCTTTTTTTTCACCTGTTTTCTGTTTTTCTTCGCCTTATACTTCCACTTTTCTCCTTCCTTGTTTTTATATTTTCTCTATTCACAATATTATTCATTAACCCGCAATTTGTTATTTTATTTGTATCTTTTAGTAGCATCTTCCTTGCTTTCTCTTAATCGTTACTATTACTAGCTTTCTCAAATTTATTAATTGTCAGAAATAATTTACGCTCAGATAGTTTATTTAATCATCCAGTTCGCGTAAGACACACGAAAGTTGTAATTAGCGTTTCATTCTACGTTAATTTTCAGTATTACAAATCTGGCAATACCAAAAATATATATCTCAATATTCCCATTTTCTAATCATCAAGTATAAAGAATTAATCAATCTGCTGAATATTCATTAACTTGTGATTTTACTTGCGTTTAATAAAACATAAATATATTTAGATTTCAGTTCTGAGCATGAATAGGTATAGTTTATCTGTTGCCGAATATGTGTTTCTTTTCCATTTAATATAAACATATATTATGAATGAAAGAATCCAGAAAGACTTTGGTTCTCCAGCCTATCATGTATATATATTTTCTGTTTTCATTTATTATGAGTGATGATATATATATATATATATATATATATATATATATATATATATATATATATATATATATATATATATATGGTCAACATATCTTAAAACATAATGAATAATATAGACATAATGTGTCTTCTTTTTTTTATACTTTCCGGTTATCTAATCAGTTTCTTGATGTTGAGAGGAAATTCAAAGGAAGGCACCGTAGTTTATATATATATATATATATATATATATATATATATATATATATATATATATGTGTGTGTGTGTGTGTGTGTGTAAGCAAATATATGGATATAGATCTGAGAGTATGAAGAAAAATATAGAGAAAAAAACAAACAAAAATCCTAATATGCAATTATGCTGTTTTAATGTTAATATAAAGTCGACGTCGGACGTTTCGGTCTATTTAAGACCATCTTCATGGACATTTTCATTTAAACATAATTAACATTAGAACATATAAAACGAAAAGACGACGTGATCATATTTAAACGGAACGCTGATCTTATATAAAAATTTCAGTTATCTGTTTGGATTAGTTGTGCTCTTATGTCCGCCGTCTTTTTCATGTTGAATTTTATATGTTCTAATGTTAATTATGTTTAAATGAAAATGTCCATGAAGATGGTCTTAAATAGACCGAAACGTCCGACGTCGACTTTATATTAACATTAATACAGCATAATTGCATATTAAGATTTTTGTTTGTTTTTTCTGTATATTTTTCTTCATATATATATATATATATATATATATATATATATATATATATATATCCATGAGAATGAATAGAATCCAATTCTGACGTTCGTAACATTCAATATAAAAAAAGGGCTCATCCAGATGTAATGTGTTAATACACATCGAAATGATTGCATTTGTGTGCCGTTTTTACATGTTTACATATATATATATATATATTTGAGATAACGATATCTGTTTCTATATATGAAGCACAGTATTGTGGAAATTGTAAGACAAAATGGGAAAAATTTATTTGTGACGCGTTTCATCCATTAGGGTTTCATAGGCTTCATCGATTTTGTTCGCTGAAGTCCTATCGGATGAAACACTTCTCAAAGAAACTTTTTGATATACTATTATTATTATTATCGACTAGGAATATGAATATATATATATATATATATATATATATATATATATATATACGCGTGTGTGTGTGTGTGTGAAAATATATAGAAAATAGGAAAGAACTCGTTAGGTAAATAATCCTAAGTTCTTTAGTATTTTTGTTATTATTTTTAAAAACAGTGCTCGATACAAATGTAGAGCCTAAATATAATTATTTATTTAAAAATATGATTCCATCGCTACATAAGAGTTCTCATGTTTCAAAACAAGAGCCGAAAACTTCAATATAATTGGTACTTTAATTCAATTTAATTCAAATAATTATATTTATAATTTATATTTATATAATTATATATATATATATATATATATATATGTGTGTGTGTGTGTGTGTGTGTGTATGTCTGTATGTGGTTGTGTCAGTATGTGTGCGCGAATAAAACGTATTACATATAACATGTAAAAGGTTCTTGTTGACAAGCGAGTCAATACTGCTCTTCAGAATGCTAACAAACTGTATATTCTATATTCTAAATAATACTAAATCAAAGTCCATGTTTCCCATTGATCATTTTTCACTGCTGAAATCTGTGAAAAATTCGCTGTAGTATTCACGCTTTCAGTACGAACACTTTATTTAATTATATATATATATATATATATATATATATATAATAAAATATAGTTTAGATGTATGTTATATTTATGGGTTAAATGCTCAGTAACAGGGATAGAGCGTATATGGATATAAAATTGGATATAGAGGTCAAAACCCAGTGGCAGTGGCAACAGTTTGTTTTGTCCTTAAATTCAATCTTCAGTCAGGTCTGAAGATCTGGCATTATTAGCGTTTATTGAACCTGAAAAATAGGGAGTAAAAAAGGGAGCACATTTTTGGGAACATCCTATATATATATATATATATATATATATATATATATATATATAAACGTTATTTTTACTGGATACACATGTTTCACAAATATTTAGGCTGGTAGACGACAATAAACAAATAAATATACAGTTTAAGAAATAAACGGAGCGTTTACTTAAACATGGGCCTCCACTAAAAATAAGTAAGGAAATCACTGGGATTAATAAATAAAAATCCATTACTTCTCTATGTGTGTGTATGTGTGTGAATAAATGAACATTGAAACTAATATCCAGCAGCGACTGTTTACTTCCTGCTTGAATACAATCTTCCGACCATAAGCTCTATGCTTGATAGTGATCACCTTAACCCATAAATATTGCATAACTTAAAAATATATTTTTATCATATGTATATGTATAAATAAAAAAGTGAACATTGAATTTTGTTTCATGCTAGTCTGTTTCATGCTAGACACAATCGTCAGGTCACGAATATTCACTTTTATATTTACACGCGCACTATCTCTGATATTGAGCACTTTATGCCATAAATATAGCACACCTTAAGACTATATTTCTTCATATATATATATATATATATATATATAGCTTATTAAATATAACAGACAATGGATGTCTATTATGTCTGATCATGATACAATCACCCTCCTCCTCCACCTATCAATATTAAAACCACTATTTAAAAAATATTATTAGCATGTACCATTCACATACCTTTTCATGAGCCCCTAGGTAATATTTATACTCAAATAGACGGTATTGTGGTGGGATCTCCTTTAGGCCCCTTTTTTCTAATTATTATATGGCACATTTAGAGAATAAAATACTTAATAACACTAATAAGCCCCTATATATGTAAGATACATAGATGACATTTTCGTTTTAGCTAAAAATATTAATAAAATTACACAGTTTAAGATGAAATTTGAAAGCCACTCCGTCCTCAAATTTACATTAGAACTCAATATTAATAGTAAAATTCCATTCCTTGATATATCTATTGATTCCAGTACACAGAAATTTACTACTTCTCTGTATAGGAAACCCACAATTAACTCGTGTCTTCTTAATTGCAATAGTGAATGTCCCCAACGTTATTAGCTGTTATAAAAAACTTAATCCAGCCCACACAAATGATATCTTTTTCCAAAACCATATTCTACAAAGAATTATATAACATTAAACAAACGCTTGTTAATAATAGATTTCCTAATTCCACCATTGATCAAGAAATTAAAATGTATCTCAATAAACATCACAATACTTCTAACAAAATTGATAATATTAATGATAATATTGTACATCAAAATAAACATAATACTATTAACTTATACTATTGTAACCAAATGCATGATAATTACAAACATGATGAAACAACACTCAAAAACATAATAGGTAGAAATGTTAATAAACAAGTTAAGTTCATCATATATTATAAAAAATTTAAAACAATTGACCTCATAGTCTCTAATAACCCTACAACTACAAAACTATATCCTCGCAATGT